AAGAAGAAGAAGAAGAAGAAGAAGAAGAAGAAGAAGAAGAAGAAGAAAAGAGAAAGAGAGAAAAAGAAGAAATAAATCTGTTATCTAGTGGCCACTGTTCATTTTTCTATTCTTCCTGCTTCAAGTCTCTGTCCCAGCCTCATTCTACACCACAAGGATGATTTTTAACATTTAGATCAGCCTGTCGGGAAACAAGTGGGCCGAAGATCCAGCTAGAGCCAGGCTTCAGATAAATGGAGAGTCACTCAATCCTTAGCCGAGATCTGGCTAGATTTTTTACACCCAAGAAGTGCTTTCTCGTGCCTACTAATCTTTTCAAAATTATCATGATAGGGGAAGGAAAAAGATCTGGTGGGGAACTCTATCGCTAAGCGGAAGCACAATCTGTGGATAACCAGACTTCGCTTTCAAATTGCCCAAATCTTACCTCCGTAACGATCCACATGGTGACAGATACCATCACGGGTAGTATGTAGTAAGGATCTGGGGCTGTGAGATCTGTGAACCACCACAGCCCTCCTGTCTGCATGCTGGGCACAGGACATTCCGCCATTTTGCGCAGGGCGAAGAAGAAGGAGATGAAAATGGGCGCCTGAGACCGAGGGAAGAAGAAATCAAGCCAGGAATCTGTGCACATGATAACCAATTCAAAGCGTGCCATAAAAGCTGACCTGGACAAAAGGTGTGATTAATCCTCGCAGGGGGTTAATATTATGGGTTTTCTGATAGTGCTCCATATCCAGGACGGCCTGCGTAACTGGAAGGAAAAGAGACAGGATGTGAGAGCACGCACAGTGTGACTATGTGAGATAACCTAGGAGCAAATACAGTAAACAGAGGTTTGTATTTAAAGAATGGTTTTATCTACAGAGAATATATACATACACACATATTAGTAAGATCTCAAACGGCAATCAGCAATTACAGCACAGAAGCACACACAGAGAAAGAGATATCTCCCAACAGGGCCTCTTCTTATTATAGGCTCTTAAAGTGATACCAGCCCAAGAACTTTGCTGACTCATTCCTAGCATTACATCATTCTAGCAGTTGGTTAGCTCTTATATCATTACCCTGACACAGGAAATGTGATGCTAAGATACAACTAGACCTGTCTGGCATGGAACATTTCCTGTCCTTCAGATTGTGTACTACAATTCCTATCTCTCTCAATCAAAGCGCTACATTTTAGATGCTGATAGTATTTATGGAAGATTACCTTTCCATCTACTTCGTCCTGACTTCACCTTAACGGCTGCTGCAGCTGCAGACTTGGTTTAATCCCAAAGCTTTTATTAGTCTCGCTCGGGTTTGATCTAATTTTAAACTTACACTGAGGTCTGTTGCCAGTCTTCTTGGCTTCGCTGATTCTAGCCGTTAACGCGGTAATTTGGGGCACGTGATTATTCAACTCGATAGCGTCGCGCTGGCTCTTTACAATGAGTGGGAAAACCAGACAGCGTATAAATACCGTCCCTGGAAATTGGGCAGGAGAGAAGAATTGCGTTATTTTGCAAGACAAGGTCGCTGGTAGCCACACAGAAATCCAGTCCCTCAAGAGTTTATCTTAAGAGATACAGAAAGTATTAATTCCTTAACTGGACAAGGGAGGCTGTGCGAGAACACAGGTCATTTACCCAAAAACCAAATTATTTTTTTTAAACTTTTTTTTTTAAAAAAAACTCAAGACTTCACTCTGCTGATTTGGGACACTGTGAGAACGAAAGAAATATTTACAGTACCCCGACAGCAATTCTGTCTACCAATTTTGACTTGGGTTCCTCAACACGTCGCCTTTTAGTAATCCGAGGCATTAACTGCAATTTTGAAAATCATTTAAACCAACCATAGTTTTTTTAAAATCTTAAGTTTGCCCAGAATATTTTCTTTTGATTCCTGCAGGATGAAAAACACTTTCCCCCTCCCCTATCTGGCCTTTAGGGATGCGGTGGCTCAGTGGCTAACACGCTGAACTCTTCAATCAGAAAGGTCGGCAGATCAGTGGTTCGAATCCCTAGCACTGCATAATGGAGAGAGCTCCCGTTACTTGTCCCAGCTTCTGCCAAACTAGCAGTTCGAAAGCATGTAAAAATGCAAGTAGAAAAATAGGGACCATTTGGGTGGGAAGGGAACAGCGTTCCGTGCGCCTTCAAGTGTTTAGTCATGCCGGCCACATGACCATGGAGACATCTTCAGACAGCGCTGGCTCTTTGACTTAAAAATAGAGATGAGCACACTGCCCCCTACAGCCGGAAACGACTAGCATGTATGTGCGAGGACTTTTACCTTTACCTGGCTTTTAAAATCTAGATTTGTCAATGACTGAACAGGTCTTCGCTTCCCAATTGTGATGCATAATTCCTTGTCCACTAGTATACAGGTAAATCCTCGACTTACAACAGTTCATTTAGTGACCGTTCAAAGTGACAACAGCACTGAAAAAAGCGGCTTACGGCCTTTTTCACGTTTGACATTTTGCAAGGTTACGTGATCAAAACCCAGGCACGTGGCATCCACACTCGCATTTATGATGGTCGCAGTGCCCCGGGGGGTGTCACACGACCCCCCCCTTTTGCGACCTTCTGACGAGCAAAGTCTACGGGAAAGCCGGATTCACTTAACAACTGTGTGACTAAATTTGCAACTGCAGTGACTCCCTTAAGAACCATGGTGAGGGCTTCCGGTTTGAAGTCTCTTCGGCAACAGACAGAAATCCACGATCGTGCGCGGTTTCGATCTGGGCTCGTCGCTGGAGCGCCCCGAGCCGGCTGGTTTCGGGGCTAAGCCACCTCGTAGAGGTGGTAAAGAGTGGGGAGACTGCCAGCAGGGTTGAGGAGAGCCGCATCTCTCCGCCTCAGCTGGCCATGACTCCCTTTCCCGAAGGCGGTTGCAGCGGTGGTCAGAAATGGCCACCACAAAGAACTCGACCGGAAAAGAATATGCAGGAGGAAGATAAGAAGTGAAAGTTTTGGCTGACCGGGTTAAATTGTAAAAGCAACAACTAAGGTACCCTGGAATTTAAACTAAAAAAAAATAACATCGCTCCCAACGAAGAGTCGGAAGCAGTGAAGGAAAGTGAAAAGGGAAAGGTTTGGTTTTTTTCCCCCTTCTCTCTCCTTCCCTATACTGACAACTAAGAGACTTAAATAAGAAATCGGAAAAATCCACTTTGACATCAATAGGCAATTAAGCTAAAAATAAAACAAAATGTCAAAGGGATAATAAAGATTTCTGGACACTAAAAATTCTTTTTTCATAAGCAGGAAGGGAGAGAAAAAGAATAAAAGGGCAGGATCTGGAAGAGGGAGGAGACTGCCTGGAATTAAAAAGAATCTAAAGTAAAACTTCAACAAGACTTCTAAAAGATACATTTTAACTGAAACTTTGTAACTAAACAGTAACCCCAGGAAGACAAAGTGAAAAAAAAGAGCAAAAAGAAACAGCTTGCGTGTATTTGGATTACTTCGTGATCTTTGGATTCTTGGTTATTGCATTTGAATGACTAAAATTAATCGGGTGGTTGTTTAAAAATTTATACAATGGCACCACTTCTGGATGAATTGAAAATGAACTTAAAAAGTATAAAGAAGATGCACAAGAAGGGAAGGGTTCTTTTGGCTTCGTTTTTCAATTCTTAGAAATGGAGATTTGGAACTATGAGAAGCAACAAGAAGCGTCTGCAAAACAAGAAGACTGGGACAAAGAAGACGCCATCTTTAATGAACAAGTAATTCTATGTGGGGAAGAAAAAGGAAAGGGGGGAAAGAGATTCGAAAAATAAGTATAATACTGGAAAGCAACAGAACAGGGGAATACAGAAGAGAGAAATAGAGGTAGAGAGACAAGCGGGTAAAAAGGGGAGAGAGAAGAAGAGAGGTAAGAAGGAAAGGAAAAGAAGTTACAAAGGACCGGAGCAAGATATAGAGAAACAGGACCTATTTAGAGATAATGGGTGAAAATCTAATTGAAAAAGGGATTCTGTAAAGGTACATAAGATTGTATTGTTATATTAGTAATAGAAATAACTTCAGAAAATTGGAAACAATGTATGATTAAAATGAGGGATAAAATAGTGTAATTTAGTGAAATGTTTGTTAATAAGTGAAATAAAATAAATGAGAAAATTGAATTAGGAAGGAATGGGAATATTTTAATTAGTTAATGTTTTATAAAATATAAGTGAAGGGGTGGGGGAATTAGTTATGGAAAGCTTCTAATTGTTCCCATAGAAGTATGATATTTAATTGAAAAATAATGTTAAAGAACTTAAGACTTCAATGAATATTAATATTAATGATAGAATTGAATTGGAATGGAATGTGTGGTTTTAATTACATACATTTATAATTTTTTCTTTTTTTAAGAATACAGTGTGTATTTTAAGAATGTACCAAGCAGAATCCGAATGGAAGCTATGTATTATATTGAATGTTATAACTTTAGGGTATATATTGAAGCCTAAATAAGAGTTAAATAGATAAATTTAAAAGATATAAAGGCGTCATACTCCAATCAGTAACTACAGGAGAAATTTTGTTTAATGAGAAAAGATAATAGATAAGTTGAAACAGGACAGACAAAAAATATAAATATAATGATTTGAATTGAGATAATTAAAATAAAATTGAGAAAATTAAAAGAGGGGAGAAGCAATGCAGAAAATGTAAAATAGTAATAAGATATGGAATAGAATATAAAAATGAGAATGAACCTGAATTTGTGTCTGTACAAAGAAATGTAACCCGGGATTACGCTACTTTCAAAAAAGATGTTTTATTTGTATTTTTTTTCTCTTTGTGAAAACTCAAATAAAATTTACAAAAAGAAAAAAAAAAGAAACGTGGCGAGAAAGGTCGTAAAAATGGTGCCAAACTCCATGAACCGTCTCACTTAGCAGTAGAAATTTTGGGCTCCATTGCGATCGTCAATGGAGGATGACAAGGTCTGTCTGCTCCCATCTGCTGAACTGTCCCATCATCTTCTTTACCTGCCACAATGGCTCCCCACCAAGGCAGTCCCAAGTCCATGTGGAAAGATTCCAAAAACTTCAGGATAAAGCCCACTGGCGTATAGCTTTCCAGGCCCAGTTCAGCCAAAGTCGGTTCTTGCAAAACCTGGCCAAGCTCCTCTAAAGGGAGGACTTTCTCCAGAGGTGTGGCGGATACACCTTGAGTCACCTGAAAGGCACAAATTAAGAGTTAAGAGGGAACGTTATTCTTCCCAAATCCGAAGCCTGGGCGAAGTTTCCTTTTCAGCTGTACCTGGATGCCTGCCATGGCCGCAGTGCTCTGACAGCGGACTGCGAGCCTCCAAGGAGCAAGAGGGAAACTCGTCGGCTGACGGACAAAAGAAATTTTGGCCTGCGACCATCTCAGGGGAACAGCTGCTCTATGAACCTGCAAAGGAAGCGGCAAAAAGCACCTTAATAAACTGGGAATCGCAATACCAATAAAGGTTCATCCGGAACACCCAAAGCACAAGGGATGTATGGCTGTTTTCCAGGCCATTCATGGTTTTGTAACATTCAGGGGGTTCTCTCTGCAAACCCCACTTCTTTCTAGCACTGATGATGTTTCCTAGTTGGGTCAGGAAACATATGCAAGAAAGCAGCCAAACTCAAAGAGAGCCCCAAATGACCCCACAGTCGTCGCCCTTCTCTTGTCTGCAAACGTCCCTCTCTTCTAGCACTAATGATGTGACCTAGTCAGAATCATCAGCTGGAAGGGACCTTGGAGGTCTTCTAGTCCAGCCCCCTGCTCAAGCAGGAGATCTGACCTATACTATTTGTAAAACAGCTGCAAGGAAACAGCCCAGCTCAGGGCGCACCAAGGACCCCACAGTCCTCCTCCTCTTTGCAAACACCATTCCCTTCCAGCACTGACAATGTTATATAGTCTGGTCATGAAACGCCTCCTCGTCACATCCCTCCCTCCTTTCAGGCACTGAGGATGTTATCTAGCCAAATCGTTAGAATAGAGCTGGAGATTTAGAATGAATGAATGAGTTGGAAGGGACCTTGGAGGTCTTCTAGTCCAGCCCCTCTGCTCAAGCAGGAGATCCTATATCATTTGGCAAACGCCTGCAAGGAAACAACCCAGCTCAGGGAGACCCCAAGGACCCCCCCTTCGTTGCAAAACAGGGTGAACTTTCGCCCATTCCCTGCTTTGCAACGTTCAGGGGATCCCCTTGCAGGCAATTACCGAGGAAGCACAACAAACAGGTGGGACACCGGGTAAGATGACCCCTTTCATCCCCGGTTTGGGCCTAAGTTCAGGTCCTGGGGGTGGGGAAGCAGGAGGCTCTCATCCTTGGGACTCCCCGAGGACAGTTCACCCAGTTCTGGGTCAGCCGGGCACTTCGCCAGCAAAGGACGAGCAGCGCAGGCCTGCGGCGGGTCCCGGTGGACTACAACTCCCATCCACGCGACGGGCGTGTGACGTCACAGGTCCCGGGGCGACCCACCTGTGCGCGAAGCCCCCCCGCTGCGACCCACGCTCGCCGCAGCGCCCCGAAAGCAGCCATAGTCTCCTGGCTTGACCGGCCGCCTGGTCACGTGACCGGAACTCGGGCCGGAAGGGACGCGACGCTCTTCCGAGGCCGCCGCGGCCCTCTTGGTTACGGGCACGTGGTTTTACATCTCCCGGGAGAGTCGGTCTCTAGGTTTTGTTTCCCGCGAGTTCCTTCTTAAGGAATCGAAGTCGAGGAGCGGAAAAAACAAAACAAAAATAAAATAACGACTCGGAGAGTGAAACGCCCTCTGGGAAACGGGTAGAGGTTAAGCAGACATTATCCACCGTGGCCATGTTTGTCACGGGCACGTCGAGCCTTTTGGTGGAGTGAAGCCATGGTTTTGCAGGCGAGGAAGAACGGAAGCGGAACTGCGGCCATGTTTCTCGCGGGCAACAATGCCTTTATGTGATAGGTCCGCGCAATCTCTCCGAGCCTAGCTACGTTACGTTTCAACCCCGGTGCCTTCGCGTCGTTAGACTTCAACTCCCAGAATTCCTCTGTGTACGCTTCTTAAAGTGGCAAAGATTGGAAGACCTTACAGTAGCTCGTTCGGTTTCATTCTACCAAGTGGCCACGGTGGGGAGCTGTTGTTACGCGTTACTTCCTAGTTATTCGTGCTAAATTAGGAGTTCGTTAATTAATTTAGGAGTGTAACTTAATTCAACAGGCGGGATCAACAGCAGCGCCCCACCGTGGCCATTTGGTAGAATGAAACCCAAAGAGCAGCACGCTTTTAAGGGGATTGTTCCCTAGTTTTGACCCGACACCCTTGATTTGTAATTTTTTTTTACTTTTAATTTCTGCTTTGCCAACAATTTAGTGGTACCCATGCAAGATCCTGGTTAGGGTCAGGGGTTTGGGTTAGGTTTAGTTTAGTTTACTTTATTGGCATTGCACCTCGTACAATGAAATTAAATGCCATCTTCTGTGTACATTAGAATTATGAAAATAAACACAAACACACACCCTTCACATTCTATGCATTGAACTGAAAACCCCTGATATTTGTCCTTATTTTTTTTTTTTTTTTTAAAACAAGTTTTATTAATTTTTAAAACACACAAATTATCATTATTCATTACATGTTTAAACCTTTTTCCCTTGTAAATTTAACAAGTCAGATAAATTATGATTCTATTTTAAACCATTTCCATATAATATACCAAAACCTCTTATTCAATTTCTCTTTACTTCTCTTTACTCTTATTCAATATCATTATTATTATTTCATCTGTTTCTTTCTGACTTAGTTACCATTATTCTCATTCTATATTTCTACAAGTTTTTACCAATTCTCCCCCCAAAAAAGACATATACACACAACACACAAAACATAAAAAAAATATCTTTTTGGAAAGTAACTTGGACCCAGGTGTCTCTCTCTTCATGGACTTCAATTATATTCATGCTCATCTTACATATCATTACTTATTTTATTTACCATTCTAAGCCTTCTATATTAACTTCTCCACATATTTCACACTTCTTAATTCTACCTTAATTAATCATCTTAGTTTAAATCATTATATTTGTATCTTTTGTCCATTTTTTATCATCCCTTTGTCTCATCCCTTATGAAAAAAAAAGAAAATCAGTTTCTCCTGAAATCATTAATCAGAGTATGATGCCTTTCTATCTCCCCCCTAAGTTAATCAAATTAATCTTTAAAATAATATCTAATACCCAATCAGATTTTGCTTGGTACATTCTATCTAACTAATACATCCAACACAATTAAGTGCATAATTAGAGAATAAATCCAAATATTAAAAAGAAATACTATAATAAAAATTTTATAATAACATCAATACCATAATTTTATTAAACTCTTTAATTAAAACAATATTCTAAACCTCTCCTATTATTAAGTTTTAAAACCAATCATTTTTAAACATTTTAACATTTTAATCTCTTATCAACTCTTAAACCATTGCAATACTACCATCTCATCTTATGTACCTTGCAAAATCTTTTTTTTTTTTTTAATTATACTTTATCCATTATCCATAAAAAATTCCTTTTTTCCATTTAATTTCAAACCGTTGTAGCTTTTCTCCACCTTTTCCCTTTCTTTCTTTTCCCAACAAACCTTTCTACCCCCCCTTCTTCTAGCCTCTGCCTTACTGGCTTCCCTTCTCTGTCGTATTTCTTTTCCCCTTTGTTTACAATCATCATATTGGTTTTGCACTTTATTTTTCCCTTTCTTAAATGTTTTTTTAGATCTTAAGTCCTTAAATCCTTTAGTTTTCTTCTTTTCTCTTCTTTTCTTTTCTTTCTCTCTTCCTTTTTTCTGGATCAAATTCTGAGATTCATTAAAGATGGCTCCTTCCTTTCTTTCTTGTTCCTCTGCTGTCTTCATCTGTTGTAATTTTTGTTGATAATTAGTAAGCGCCATTTCTAAGAAAAGGAAAGCTTCTTCCACACCATTTCTTAGTTCCTCAACAGAAAGAGCCATTATAAATCTTTTCTTTTCTTTTCTCCTTCTTTCTTCTTACAACAACCAGAATATTCAAAAGAAAATAAAAAAAATAAAACAGTCCCAAAGTTATCAGTCAGTCCAAACCAAGGCAGAGTTCTCACTTTCTCCTTCTGGGGTAATATCAATCAAAGAGAAAGAAAGTCCAAATCTGTTTAAAGTCCTGTTACAATATATTCTAGTCTTCAAATCCTTAAGGCATCTGCTCCAACAAATCTTAGCATACGAATATTTTCTTTTTAATCCTCTCTCTTCCCACTCATCGCTTAAAACCAATTTCCACCTAAAAAAATAGGTTTCTTAATATCCAGTTATTTATTCCGTAGGAAAAGAGGGAAAGCTATCCTTTCAGCACCTTCCAGCAGCCGCTTTTTCCCTCTTCTGGCAGGTATTATTCAGAAAGTCATACTTTTCAGGAATTTTATTAAATATGTCTTAGAGTCCTAGGAGCCAAGAAAAACTTTCTCCTCTCAATCACTTTCTCCACTTCCTCCTGCGCATTCTTACCCGGCTGCCAGCTTCTTTGTGGCGGCCATTACGGACCGCCGCTGCACCGTCCTGGGAAAAGGGGGTTCTGCCGGCCAGGGAGGGGGTCTGCAGCACCCCCAAACCCTTCTCCGGATCCCCCCTACCTTCAGCTGCCCCTGCAGGGCAGCCTAGCTCCGTACCCGGCTGGGTCGGAGCCCCAAAAACGGCTAGCGCGGCAGGGATCGCGCAGCTTCGCAAATCCCTGCCGCTCGCGAAGCCGACAAACCGGAAGTCTGGACAGACGGTGCAATTATCGATATTTGTCCTTATTTTTATTATTGTCCTGTACCGTCTGCCAGATGGTAATAGTAAGGTGACCAACTGTCCTCCTTTAGGGAGGACAGTCCTCCTTTTGTAAGTTCTGTCCTCTCTCGAAAGTGTGCTCCTACATGTCCTCCTTTTTGATATTTGAAGACTAATCTGTAAATCTCCGTATTTCAGCCGATCCGATCCTTTGTGTGTGATGTGATGTATTTGCATTTGACATGACGATTCATCAAGGCTTGGTACACTGCGGCGAGACGCAATTGTGAGACGCATGCGCTCCACACAGGAGAATTGTTTTGAAAGAGTGCTGCGTGCAAGAGTGCTTTGTTTTTTTCCCCCTTCAATTTATCTGTGTCCTCCTTCTCATTGTAAAAAAGTTGGTCACCTTAGTAATAGTTCAAAAAAAAAAAAAAAAAAGGGTGCCCAGGATGAGATGGATCTTTGAGAATATTTTGAACTTTCTTAAGGCAGCAGGAGCTATAAAGCTCTTCCAAAGAGGGGAGAGGGCAACCCATGATCTTCTGGGCAATGACCTTAACCCTCTGGAGTGCTTTCCTATCTGCCCCTGTGCAATTGGCAAACCATACAGAGGTGCAATATGTTAAAATGCTCTCTATGGTGCAGTGGTAGAAGGTCACCAGCAGTTTTTCATTCAGTTGTTGTTTTCTGAGAAGTCTCAGGTAGTATAATCTCTGCTGGGCCCTTTTGACCCGGACTGCAATGTGAGCACCCCAGGTCAGGTCCTCTTTTAGAGTAACACCCAGAAACTTAAAACTGGCCACTTGCTCCACTTGGTCTCCATTGATAAGCAAGGGCTGGATGTCTGATCTGCTTTGGGTCAGGATTAGGGTTAGGGGTTAGGGTTAGAGGTTACTGTTAAGTTTGACTGGTGTTTTGATAGAATAGAATAGAATAGAATAGAATAGAATAGAATAGAATAGAATAGAATAGAATAGAATAGAATAATTTATTGGCCAAGTGTGATTGGACACACAAGGAATTTGTCTTGGTGCAAATACTCTCAGTGTACATAAAAGAAAAGATACATTCATCAAGTCAAGAATCATAAGTTACAACACTTAATAATAGTCATAGGCTACAATAAGCAATCAAATCATACTAGGAAACGGTCAATAAAAATTGTTAGGATACAAGCAATAAGGTTACAGTCATACAGACATACATGGGAGGAGATGGGTGAAAGAAAGGATGGGAGGATTAATAGTAATGTAGACTTAGTAAATATTTTAACAGTGTTGAGGGAATTATTTGTTTAGCAGAGTGATGGTATTTGGGAAAAAACTGTCCTTGTGTCTAGTTGTGCTGGTATGCAGTGCTCTATAGCGTCGTTTTGAGGGTAGGAGTTGAAACAGTTTATGTCCAGGTTGTGAGGAGTCTGTAGATATTTTCACAGCCCCCTTTTTGACTCATGCAGTATACAGGAAGCATATTAATGGAAGGCAGGTTAGTAGTAATTGTTTTTTCTGCACTCCTAATTACTCTCTGAAGTCTCTGTCTGTCTGTCTTCTTGGGTTGCAGAGCCAAACCAGTGTCCAATAACATCTTTGATCTTCCAATTAATAGATGGTCCAATTGGATCTTCAGATGGAAGAAGACAAAATCATATTGACATCCTCATCCTCTGTAACAGATTCTGAAAATATATAGAGGTGGAATTTGTGAGAAAAAGATGAAGTAAAGGTTGTGATGTGTTCATGTACTAATAAGTTTATACTTATATCTGTTATCTAATACAGTGGTTGCCAACTGGTGGGCCATGGCCTACT